TCATACCCAGTCTGGCCCCGTAATCCCAAGAACACAGGCTTTCAAATGAGAACTCAAATTTTTAAAAATCCAGATAGGCTGGCTTTGATGTGACTTAGGGTACAAAAAGATCTTTCTGTTATCTCCAAACAGAATGGCAAAGGGGAAGTTTTCCTTTCCTGACCTCTCAAGATGGTATAATATTGTAACCCAGCACCTAACAGTGAAGCCTTGTGGATTACTCAGACAAAAGAAAAATGTATTTATATCTTTACTTAACTGTCGATATCTGTTCCTGCCTTTAAATGATACTGACCTATTTGCTCTATTTGCAAAGGAATTTTATTATAACCTCACAGAAATTCCTGACATCAACAAGAGTACGTTTAAGCTATTTTACAAAGCTACTGCAAGCTCCTCCGTGGGGGGAAAACAGTTTGCAATGTTCTCTATTCTGAAAAAGAAAAGTCATTGGTGTTCTGTAAAGCAGCAGGATAGTATTGTCAGAGTTACTGTGGCTGGAAATATTTTCATAGTCATCGTTTAAGGTTGGCTGACTCATAAGTATTGACACAGTTAGGAGGACTGCTTATTAGTCAAGTCAAGCCCCATCATCGAGGCTCTCGCCTTTGTCCTGTTGCTTATCACCACTTATTCAACTAATGTTCCCTTTCGAGCATAGCTACCTGTTCATCTAGGAATTAACTTAAAACTTAATTTGGAACCTTGAAATAATAACATTCCTAGAGAAATTGAGGAGAAAAAAAAAGCTCATTTCTTAATAATGCAAGATCTTAGAATAACGTATTACAACCTCGCTGCTCAGAGTGCCATCCACACACCGGCGGTTGGCATCATGGCTCAGGAGATGCAGAAAGTCCACCCCACCCCAGACCTCTGATTCAGAATTTGCATTTTAACATTTTAAGATCTCACAGCGATTCAAGGACACATTACAGACTGAGAAACACTGACTTAAAAGAAATGGGCAGGGGGGATTCTGAAAGTGGTTACTGGTTTGTGTCACCAAAATCAAGTAATTAGACATAACTACAGTATGTACCACAATCCACTGGAATCAAAAATTAAAATAACAACAGCAACAACAGTGGAATGTAACAACTGTGGAATGTAACAACAGCGGATATTCAGTAAATTATATTTGTTTTTCTTTTAGGTATTAATTACACGACTGGCTCATTTTAGGCTTTTGTGGGTTTTTTTTTTTTTTTTTTTTTTACTCTTTTCATTGTTAATTGCAATGCCTAGAAGAGCATTCACTAGTGTATCCACCCACGCATGAAGGAAGAAAAGAAACAATGAATGCATGGTAATTATCTATTACTGGGAGTGGCTACTTGGATTAGGACTCAATGGATGTAGAGTCTTCTGGGAGTGAACATTGGGACCATTGCCCTTCAGATCAGGGACAGAATTTTCCTACTTGATCATCGGAAGCCACCTCCTCAATAGGAAAGAAGAGCTGGTTATTGGAATCTGAAATGCAAGAATTCAACCACTTGTTTGTAGGTTAACACCACGTGTCCCCAATCTTCTGCCCAAAGACCTGCTTACTACTGTTTGTGTTTTATGGGGCTTATATTAACAGATGTTAGTGGTTACTTTAAGGCAATTAATTGGGGCTCTTGTCTTCTTTTTTCCCCAGCTGCCTTCTGTTCAGATGGCCTGGCAGGAACTAAGGAAAGGTTCAAAAGGTTTAATATAACAATGGAAATCACTTTAGTTTTTTTTGAAGATAATTGTTCAGAAAATGACAGTATATAATCACTATCACCTGCATAGTATATCGAATGGTGTCTGCGGAAAAACCTTTCCTAATTTAATCAATAATATTAATTCCTGAAAAGGCAAGTTGTACTCCTAAGTATAGTTTTTTTTTTCTCCATTAGAATTCTTCCTCAGAGGTATATTGTTCAGAATTCATTGCTCAGAACCAGCAATTCTTGGTTGTATAGGCTCTTGACTGTAAAAGCTCTCCTTTATTTTCTTAATTTGGGGAAAATATTCTATATCCTGAAGATCATGAACCAGAAAATACTCGATGTTATGTCAGTCCTTAAAAGAGATAATGCTATAAAGCAATATGGAATTACATTTAGGGTAGCATAAGAAAAGAACAAAAGTCAAAAGCCTATTTCTCAAACCCATTAATATAATGCACAATTATCATGTCATTTTCCCAGTTGTGGAATGGGTGGGTAATAATGGTAATGAAGGGAAATATATAAATGAGCAGTGTTTAGTCTGAAGTCGCTGTATAACTATTTTTTTATTATAGTCTTTGTCCATTCTTATTTTGTCAATTTTGGTAAAAATTTCCTTTAAATAACCTCAAAATTTACTACCTAATCAGCGTACTGAAACATGCTTAATATAAAAATCAGTGAGTCTTATTTGCCATTGACATTTCAGCCCTACTTACATGATCTAAAATTCAAAGCATATTGTAGACAATGCTCTTAACCAAGGCCAACGATTGAGGTTGTGTTGATAGCCCTAGATCTTGAAATCCCTCTTCTTTTTTTTTTTTTTTTCCATCTTTCTTGGACTTATTTCCCTTCTGTTTAGCTCAATGCTTTGTCATAGATGAGAACAATAAAGTAGACCTTGAATCTCATTGGTAATACCATGGAACAATAAGTAAATCAGTGTTTATTATTTTTCACTGTTTAGTGGTTTCTTTTCCCCATCATTCTAACACCACTGTGGAAAGGTTTTTGGTATCTTAGTACAATATAGTTTTCAAAGGATTATCTGTTGGGAGAATATTTAAAAGTCAAGTACATATACACATGGTGCAGTAAGTAAATAGGCTGTATTATTCCATCATTAGGAGCTCTTTCCAGTGGTACTGCAATTAAATTCAATCCTTTTGTCTGGGCTATGTATGAATTCAGTTGAACAACTGGCTATACAGAGCTTTTTTTGTTGTGGTGGTGGTTATTTTGGTTAATAGCAACTTCCCTATTCAATTCAGTTTCTGTTTGTAACTCAGAAGTTGTTTGCAAATACGGTCAACAGAATTATACATTTTTTTAAATTCTGAAAAGCATCCTACCCTAAATAGAAAATGGACCACTAACAAAGGCACTGTTTGCCTTTTGAGCTGTCTGAATCTTCTCCCATTTTATAAATTATCTATGTGGGTACTTATAAGGTGCCAAAATAAATGACTGAAAAGGAAAACATTATCATCATTTATCTACATGATACAGACTACTTTTTAATTTATTATCTAATTTATCCAGTTACACTAGCGTGGAGTAGGTACGATTTGTATATGTGCGCAGGTTATTACATTCCCCAGTATTTGTAAATCATGTGTTTCAGGTTGGTTTGTGGTAGTGAGATGTACATGAACAGAATATTATAAATAAGCCAGCCTGTTAAAAATCTTTCTCGAGTCAGAAAACATTCACTGTGCATTCATTTTTAAAAATCAGTTTTTCTTTTCCCAATACAACCATCAGTGGCATTATTTTAAATAAACTGTTTAAACTGTTCCCTGTTTGTAGCAGGGAAAGCTACAACTATAAAATATAGAAATTTAAAGCCTTTTTCTTCTACTCCTATTCAATAGATTACAGACATACTTATTTTTTTCCCTGACATCACCTAAAAAAAAAATTCTTAAACCTTATTATGTTAAAATATAATGGCACAGTAGTAATAAAATGAAATGGCAATTCAGTAGCCTTTACAGCTATAGAGTGACAAAATCCCAGAGGGTTTTTAGTCTTTAGATTATTCAGGCCGTCTAAACCTCTGCTGCCACAGTTTTTGTTTTTTTTTGTCTCTCCCCCCCCCCCCCCCCGCAAATGGAAAAAAAAAAAATGGCATTTTGCTCCTGTAGATCTAGCTGTTCCCTGGGCGGTTGGTTCTAGAAAAGCAACAGGCTTTTCCCCCTGCCTTACCAGAAGCAACAGTTAGAAACTCTCACAACTAGACAACTGCTACCCCACAGTGGTTGGAAACAGCCAATATTGAAGATGACAGCTATGATTTCAATCTACTGTGCAACAGCTTCAGAAAGGGAGAAGGAAAAGGGAAATAGAGAGAATGTCAACCTTCTGAAAGGACTGCCCGAAGACCCTACCTCCCCCTCCCCGACCCCCCCAGCCCTGTCCTTTTCATCACCAGGCTTTCCCCGCAGGCTTAGGTTTCAGGCTTAAAGCAAAGCAATAACTCGACCCCTTTCTTTTTTTCTACTCGACCCCTTTCTTTTTCTTTCTTTCTTTCTTTCTTTCTTTCTTTTTTATTTTTTTGCTCAACCCCCTTCTTTTTCCTTCCTTTCTTTTTTTTTTTTTTGGTCAACCCCTTTCTTTCTTTTTCTTTCTTTTTTTTGCTCGACCCCTTTTTCTTTCTTTCTTTCTTTCTTTCTTTCTTTCTTTCTTTTTGCTCGACCCCTTTCTTTTTTTCTTTCTTTCTTTTTTTTTGCTTGACCCCTCCTTTCTTTCTTTCTTTTTTTTTTTTTGCTCGGCCCCTTTCTTTCTTTCTTTTTTTTTTTTTTGCTCGACCCCTTTCCGTTGCAACTTCAGCTTGCAGGAGGTGCCGGCCTCCCCAGGTCCCCAGTGCCCGCAGGGGCCGCCGCGTGGCTCAGCCTGTTGCTCGCGCCTGCAGGTGCGCGGGAGCCCAGAGCCCAGGAGGGGCCCTCGCGGCGCCGGGGAGCGGGGGCGCGGGGAGGCGGGGTCGGGGGGCGGCGACCCAGGGCGCGGGGCCCCGGTGCAGGCCGCGCGGCCGCCGGCAGGTGGAGCCGTGGGCGCCCCCAGCCCCGCCGCGACCCCGCGGAGGAGGCGCCCAGACTCCGCCCCTCGGGTCCCCGGGCAGCGCCGGGCACGCTCCCGCGGGGGCGCTGCGGGGACCTGGGTGCGCGCCGAGGGCCGGGAGCAGGGGCCCCGGGGCGGGGGGGGGGGCGACCCCGGCGAGACGCGGAGGGCGCGGGGCCCCGCCCCTCCCCCTCTGCGCCAGCCCGGCCGCGGGCCCGTCGGGAGGCCACTCACCATGTTCACTTCGGAGACCATGTCTATGCTGGCGACATCGATCCGCATGCCCACGTCCACAGGGGGCCCTGCGGGGAGGTGGGACACGTTGGGGGACATCGGGAGGGCGGGGGGCTTCCCTGCGCTTACCGCCTTTGGGGCGGGCGCCCTGCACCCCGCTCCCCCTTGCAGGGGGCGGCCTGGGAAAGCAGGTGCGGGCCCACGCGCGATGCAGTGACTCTGCAGAGGGGGGTCGGGCGGGGCAGGCCGGCGCGGCCCGGGGCTCCCTCCGCCTGCCCCCGGGGGTCCGGGGCGCGCGTGTGCATGCGTGTGCATGCGTGTGCACGCGTGTGCACGTGTGCCCGGGGCGCAGCGCGGAGAGCACACTTGCGGAAATGACATGCTTTTTTTTTTTTTTTTTTTTTTTTTGACATTTATCTTTGACAGGGAAGGAGACCTAGATCCGTACGGGTTACAGGTTGAAAAAAAGCTGAAGCTTTACCTCCGAAGTCCGGCCGCAAGCGGATGTCGTATCCCTTGAGCAGTCTGTCCACCGTCTCTTTCACGTAGGACATGTTGCTGGGCTCGTTGGCGCTGAAGGGGGAAGCGGGGACCGTGTTGAGCACGAGCGCTAAGTGCGAGCACGGAGATGGAGACGGGCACCCTGACCCCACAGCCCAGCTCCATGATCCAGCAGGCATGCAAGCAGGAACACACCGAGGGGGGAAAGAGAGAGAGAGAGAGAGACGTTCAACAACAGCAGCTCACCTGTGTGCACAACAGACCATGGCAATCATCACAGGGAAAGAGAGGAGCCCCAGACTCTCTCGGCTGTGTGCTGTCCACATTACTAACTCTGATCCAAGAATGGTCTTTTCTGCGAAGATTCAAGGAATGCAACTTAGTCGGCGGCAGGGCAGTAATCCCCGAATGGACCTGCGCATGCGCACGCGGGGCTCACTACCAAAAAAGACACCTTGCGCCTTGCAAACAGTATTCCTAGTGGAACAGGCAACAGATTTCAATCCCCTTAAAGTTCCTGTTGGTGGTGTTCCACGTCCTCCGAGTGGTCGGGGATCGCCTGTTCCTTCTCTGCTGCGGATCCTGGACGCATTTGCCTGCCGAGGTTTCTTTGAGCATTAGAGGTTGTTGCTGCCAGGTCCCTTTCCTTTCTGTCCTCAACCTGGTTTGTTGTTGTTGCTGCTGCTGCTGTTGTTGTTGTTGTGCTTTCTTGCAACTCAGCTCCCGGGGATCTGGCTGGGGCTGCCTGGGATTGGGGCAGTCACTGGTGCTCCTAGAACTGAGAGGGGCAGGGGTGGCTCTCGGGTCTCCAGGGGGTGCAGGGGGTGGGGGAGTGAGTGGAGAATGAGAGCCAGGGAAGAAGGGAGGGGGCAGGGGAAGGGAAACTCAGCACGAATTTGAGGACTTGGAGAATCAGATCCCCTTAGGAAGCATCCTGGAGCACCTGCCTCAGTGTAGCCCTTCTCCGTGGGAGGGGGAGGAGGAGAGGAGGGCCAACTTTTTCACTTGCTCCCCCACTTTTCTTTCTCCCCCTCTCTTGTCTCTCCAGGCACGAGATTTAAGGGAAGCAAGCGATGAGGCAGCAGCTCTGGGCAGGCAACCCTTTTTCTAGTGCCATCTGCCGCAAGTCCCACTTTTTTCCCCCTAGGTTCTGGTAAGGAAAACCTCTTTCTTAAAACTGCGGGTGTGTTGGCTGGCATCAGTAGCCCAGCACAGAACCCTCAAACCCCCCAGAGGGTCTAAGCGCTGCTCGCATGTAGTTTGGGGTCCTGTAGGAGCAAGGGGTGTTGGCATTATATTAAATTCAGTCAATGCAATTCAGTAAATGTCACGGAGCACATGTTAGGCGGGAGGCCCTGGGCTAGGAGTTTGTTCATTTGTTTAATGGTATATATTAAGTATTTACTATGTTCTTGACATTCTGGAACTCAGAGAGGACTTAGAGAGGGTTCCCGACCTCGAGAAATTCACGGGACCCCCGTCAGGAAGATGGACACAAATGTAAGGAAATCCAGTATGTCTCTAGGTAGTTTGTTTAGTGACAGGAGGCTTGTTAATACTACAGAGAGTGGTAGATAATGGTGTCCAGACAAGGAGAAAGCTTTTTGTCAGAGCCGGGAGGGAGAGGTATTCCAGAAGGAGGGAACAGCCTGTGCCAAGTCTTGGAGACTTGAAAGGCTGTGGTCTATCTACTTGGCTAGCTGACCCCAGAAATAACTGATTGGAAAATAAAAGGAGAGAGGTAGGGGACGGTGGTCATGAGGGGGCAAAGAGAAGCTGAGGCCAGACCATAGGGAAGTTACATCCTTTATGATGCCAATTTAGGCTTCTAGAAATCACTGAAAGTTTTAGGTAGGGATAGTCAGGGTCAGATGTCAGTTTTAGATACAATGTTCTGGTAAAATAATCATGATCAGAATAATTAGAATTTTATCACTTGCTGACTCCTTGCTGGTTATCGTGCGCGTTATATGGATGACCTTATTTAAGCCTTCATAATAATCCAAATGTGGTAGATATTATTATTATTCTCATTTTGTAGATAATGAGACTGAGAACAAATCAGGGTGATATAACTAGTTCAACATCAAACAGCTAATAAGTTGTGGAATGAGCATTCCAACCCAGAATCCATGGACCTGACTACTGTCTACTATGAAGGATGGACCCCAAGAGGAGAAACCAGAGACAGAGAAAACAATGAGTAGGGAGAAAGGTTATTACAGTGCCCCAGGCAAAAGGAGCTAAAGTCAGATGGTGTTTAGCGTGGAGCGGAGGTGATAGACTAATGCAAGTTTTCAGACGTATAATAGAGACATCAAAAAGCCGGAAAGGTCATCACATGAAGACTTTGGGAAGGTAACCGAAGGATTGTACAAACGTTTACACGTGTAGATCTTGACATTCTACATATATTCACTTTATTTTCTCCATTTGAGCCTCATACCAGCCTTAAACACTTGAGGCCATTTCTTCTGGAGACAATGATAACTCTTAATCAGGTTCCTTAATTTTCTGGAAAGGGTGTCAGGTCTACCTCTTTGTAATTCATATGGATCTGCTTTCAACGAGAAAAAGAAAAGGTTTATTTAAGCCTCACATCCTCACTGAAGAATAGATCCTCTCTATATGGCACAACTCCACAAACGCTTCATTGTAGAAAACAAAACTTGTGGAGGTTTACTTCCCTTGTTTGTTCATTCGTTTATTGCTCAAATATTTATTAAACATTTAGTAAGCGACTGACGCTATGCTAAAACCCAGCGACCCAACCATAAAAAAAGATAGCACATGGAGTCCCTTTTCACAAATTTGAGGCTGCAAATGGTAGCCTTTGCCAATCAAATTGAATTCATAAAAGAATTATTTGGTTAGGTGTTTACTCTTTGTTCAACTTCTATAGCTTTTATTGGGATGTATGTTTTCCAATTGGTCATAAACCCCCCAAATTCTTTTTGAATAACAACTGGGATTGTATTTATTAATTCCTATGAAAGAGTTAAGATTTTATTCTAGAATTAAGGAAAACTATGAATGATTTCGTGTACTTGAATCCCAATGTTTAGTATGCTGCAACTGGATCGGTTTCACTGACTTTGGCTTTTAAATTATGCCTCCGTTTGTATGGAATAACACTGTAAGTCATTAGATATTTATAATGTCATCTAATACTGGATGCTATTGAGGATGACGTGCACTAAGTCACTCAGTCTCTTATGTATGAGGACCTGTGGGAAAATTTTTCCTAGACCCTAGTTGGAATCCTCAAATTCATTAATTTCCTCATTTGTTTTGGCCACTGGGAATCTCAGAGTTATAGGTACAGTTCAGCTTTAATCATTATGTAAGGTCTTAATGACCTGCATTTTGTTATGTTACATTTCTCCCTTATGCCCTCGAATCCTGAATTTAATTTTCCTTTGTCACACTTTCCTAACTTAAAAACAGATATGTTGCACTGAATATATATAGTGTATAAACTGTCTTGAATAATTTTTGGAACTATTTGGGGAAAAATTCAAAATAATAAAAAGCAATAGGTAAATAATTGAAACATGCTAAAAATCATCAAACCTGGACACGCTCTGGGGACTTTTCTTTTTATGGCTTAAAACATCAACAGTTAGTTCCTTTGTGAAGTTGCTTGTTTCTTTTCCAAGTAACTCTCTTAATTAAGATCTTCCCCCTTCAAGACTCAACTCAATTTCCTTTTTTTTTTTTTTATTAAAGCTGCCCCTGAAAGCTATTGTATACTTGATCATCCCTACTCTTATTATCATCTACTGATAACTTCTAGAAGGATTCTAACATTTATCATCCATTTAGCAAATTTAACTGTGAACCTGTGGATGGATTAGTATGAAGTATTTACCAAAAAGGAAAGATTTCCTACAAGTGAATCGAGAGAAGGAAATGGGACAAAGAGAAACTCCAAATGAGGAACTGCAGATTAAAACAATGATATACTATTTCAAGCCTATTAGATATGCAGAATCTAAGAATGCCAAATATTGGTTAGGAACTCCGATATAGGGATCCCTGGGTGGCGCAGCGGTTTGGCGCCTGCCTTTGGCCCAGGGCGCGATCCTGGAGATCCGGGATCGAATCCCACGTCAGGCTCCCGGTGCATGGAGCCTGCTTCTCCCTCTGCCTGTGTCTCTGCCTCTCTCTCTCTCTCTCTGTGACTATCATAAGTAAATAAAAAAATAAAAAAAAAAAAAAAAGGAACTCCGATATACTTTTAGTAGGCATACAAATTGATCTGAATACTATGGAAAGCAATTTGGGCGTATCTGGTAAAGTTGAAGATGCCTATGCCCTTTTGCCCAGAATTTCCACCACAAGGAATATATCTCACACAGTCTAAGAATGTTCATTGCAGTGTTGCTTTTAATGGTGCAAAACTGACAACAACCTAAATGCTTATCTACTGGGAATAAATAAATACTGACATAGTTACACAAAAGAATCCAACAGTAAAAATATATAAATATCTACATGCTTTTCATAGATCACAATATAAAATATTAAGCAAAAACAAAATACAAAGAGCTAGGTGCATGCAAAAAAATGAAATAAAAACAAACAAACAAACAAACAAAAAACCCAAAGAGCTAGGTGCAGAATTATACAAGTGTGATACCATTAAGTGAAGTTAATAACATTTAAGTACAGGGGTGCTTGGGTGGCTCAATCAGTTGAGTGTCCAGCTCTTGGTTTCAGCTCAGATCATGATCTCAGGGTCATGGGATCAAGCCTCCCATCAGGCTCCACCCAGAGCAGGGAGTCTATTGAGGATTCTCTTTCTCCTTCTCCCTCTATCCCTCCCCTCTCCCTCCACCGCTCTTCCTCTCTCTCAAATAAATAAGTAAATCTTAAAACAACACATTTAGGCCCAAAACCCAGAAAATGTATTATTATATAGATAGATGTATAGATTTTAGGAGATGAATATCTATCACAATAATAAAGATAGGAAGGATATTCAATTTTAGGATATAAAATCCTAACTGAATCTACAATACTTTATCCAATAAAAGAATCTCAAGCAAATTAGTCAAAACATGATATATGGTGTTCATTGTTCTACTCTTTCCAGTATTTGAAATATTTTATAAAAATGAATTAAAACTAATAAGTGACAAACTGAGAATATATATTTGAAATTTTTATTTTTAAAATGCTGATGCATATCACTAAGAGAGATAAATAAACCTAAGAAATAAATAGGAAGATGATTATAATATAGAGGCATTTCGCAAAAGACAGTGACCAGTAGATATATTAAAAATTTTCAGTCTCAAAAGTAATAAAATGAATACCATTTTCAAAAAAGTATGAAGCACCATTTTTATTTAGTTGGCTATTTTATAAAGGTTTAACG